AGTACATGTGATAAATGTCTTTCTGTGTCTGGGTTACCTTACTCAAAATAATGTTTTCTAGCTCCATCCATTTTCCTGCAAAATTCAAGCTGTTGTTATCTTTTTTTCTGCTGTGTAATATTCCATTGTGTAAATGTACCACATTTTTTTTTATCCATTCTTCAATCGAGGATCAATTAGGTTGTTTCCAGGTTCTGGCTATGACAAACAATGCTGCTATGAACATAGTTGAGCATATGTCCTTGTGGCACGATTGGATATATACCCAAAAGTGGTATTACTGGGTCTTGAGGAAGGTTGTTTCCTTATTTTCTGAGAAATCGCCACACTGACATACAAAGGGGCTGTCCCAGCTTGCATTTCCACCAGCAATGCAGAAGTGTTCCCTTTACCCCACAACCTCTCCAGCATAAATTGTCATCCGTGTTTATGATCTTGGCCAATCTTACAGGTGTAAGATGGAATCTCAGAGTTGTTTTGATTTGAATGTCTTTGATGACTAAGGATGTTGAACATTTTCTTAAGTGTCTTTCAGCCATTTTAGATTCCTCTGTTGAGAGTTCTCTGTTTAGGTCTGTACTCCATTTTTTAATTGGATTATGTGTTCTTTTGATGACTAATTTCTTGAGTTCTTTGTATATTTTGGAGATCAGACCTCTGTCCATTTTTCATCTTACTTCCCTTTTATTCTTGAGTTGAAAGAGTTCTTTATCATAGATATGAGTTAAATTTACAAATATCATTGGCAAAAAATTTCTTTCATTTTTTATGTGTACTTTACTGGTGATATTTTGCCAGAAAAATTGCTTGTAAGGATTTTTAAGGATTTCAATTCGTCTATCTTTTCTTTTGTCACTTGTACTTTGTTGCTGTATATAAGGAGGTTTGCACAATCCAAAGTCACAAATATTTACTCATGTGCCTTCTTAGCTTATGTATTTAAGGGTTACACAATCCAAGGTCACAAATATTTGCTTCTTTTGCTTCTTAGCTATGATCTAGTTCTAGTTAATTTTTGTCTATATGGTTTGAAGTTAGGGTCAAACTTCATTCTTTGCCATTAGACTATTCCGTTTTCTAGCACTGGTTGTTGGAAAAACTATTCTTTTTTCACTAAATGGTGCTTATACCATTGTAGACAATTAACTGATTATAAATTCAATGTTTTCTTTCTAGATTCTTATTTTTATTCTGCCCCTCTCAGACTATTCGCTAGCAATAGTAGAAAAAACAAACTATTTTATTTCATATTGATTCATTGTATGGTTATAACTACTTCATACTTCTCACCTATAATGTATACAGAATTTGAAATATCTGTAAAAAATGTTATTTGACCTAATTTGTGTTTTCTATATCTTTGTTGGCTTCAAGTGATTCATCTTAAAATAAGAATGGCCTTAACACTTTCCTTAATAGATTCATAACTATATCTATGTAATAGTTCCTTGAACATTATAAATAATCAACAAATGCAAAGATGTCATTAATGTTATGTGTGAACCAAATGTCACACAAGAAGACAAACATAAATATCTTCAGCCTGAGAAGATTTTATAAATACTTGCACAAAACTTATTTTTAATCTTGAGCACGTGTCCTTTCTTTACTTGTTTGAAGAGTATTCCTGAGGGAGTCTTTTTATTAAATTTATTTTTTAAACATTCTTTTTTCATTTACATACCAATCTCAGTTCCCATTCCCTCCTTCCTTCCACTCCCTCTAACTTCCCCAGGCATCTATTCACTCCTCAGAAAGTATAAGGCTTCCCAAGGGAAGTCAACAAAGTCTGACACATCACTTTGAGGTAGGATCAAGGCCATCCCCCGCTAAATCTAGGCTGATCAAGGTATCCCTCCAAAAAGAATGGACTCCTAATGCCAGTTCAAGCACTAGGAATAAAACTAAGGGATTCTTTTTAAGTTAAGAGCATCAAGACGAAAATGGTATCAGAGGATAGGAAAAAAAGAAATGAGAGAAGAAAGATAGAAAATAAAACCAACCAGAAAGTAAAGAAACAAGCATGGCAAGGGAGAAGAAACCTGATGTGGTTGTGGGGAAGAAGTTTAACATGAATAATGTTCATGACTAGTAGGAGGGGGTGGGGGAGACCTTGAAACACAAAGCTAAAACTTATTTGAATTTGTCAAAATTATTTGAAATGAAAGTAATGGTTAAATTTAGTTCTGGGTAGGATGTGAGTTCTAAAAACAAACTTCTTCCAGAGCCAAAAGCAATCTTCAATGCTGTTGTCACCTACACTAGGCTGACCTGCTTGTAAACAAGAGTACAATATGGATGTATCAGATATCTGATATTTGTAGGAATTTGCCCCATTGTTTTCTTATTCCCAAATTATAAAACTTCCAATTAATGTAGATAAAAAGAAGTGAGATAATTTGAACAACGTGGGATAAATATTGGTACATATGTGGAGGAGGAAAGTGTTCTGCTAAGTTGAAACCAGAATCTCAATACCATACAGTCAGATGTTTAATGTAGTATTAACTACTTTCTTGATACACTTCTAAGACATGAAAGTAGACAAAAAGACTCAGTAGCAATATAATACATTATATAAAAGGAAATAGTTGAAGCATCTTGAAGTATCATAGAGATAATTCCTATGAAGATGTCATCTCTATGGGACATAAGGAGTTTATATAGGACACACCCCCAGGTCCAAGACAGGATATATAAGTAAAAAGGAGACAATTCATTATTTGGGCTATCAAAGCAAAACTGCACATGAAGAAATTAGAAATCAGGAGGTATTTCATCCTTTCCATTAAGAGCAATTTTAATCTGTTTCCCTTTGAAAAGACATGAGAATTATGCTTTATTTAGATACACATATGCACACACACACACACACACACACACACACACAAACAAACACACTGTTGGGAAAATATAGGAGAAAACACCATATAAGTATTTAAGGACTAAAATAGAGCCAAAATTCCAATCAATTCTATATTCTTACTTAATTTTTTTTTGTTTTGGAGATTTTAATTACACCATTTCTCTCTTCCCTTTCTTCCCTCTAAACCCTTTAATATAACTTCCTTGCCCTTTTGCAAGTTCATGACCTCTTTTTCATCATTTATTTTATACATATGAGTGTATTATTAACCTTTTCAGTCTGTATATTGTTGCTTTAAACTCTCTTTTAAAAAATGCAGCTATTAGCCATTGTTAACACCTGAAGTGAAATCTATACAGTTTTACTCAGAGAAGTTTACAAAATCCCAGAATGCATATAGAATACATGGATGTGCATATTGGCTAAACTCAGTACCTTGAATAACTTGATTCATGTCTACTCTTACTACTCTAGCATCTAGACTCCTTCAATAGCTTCCTAATTTTTTCCAACTTCCAATCCAAGCCTGTATCTTGAATATATACTCCACAGAGCATCTAAAGAGAGCATTACAAAATTATATTTATATGATTATATATATTATAGTTCAAATTTTATTAGTGCTCTGTGCGAAAACATTTAACATTTTCTCAGACCATTTTGAGTAAAATACAAAATCTTTAACATCACTTTCAGAACTCCAAATTATGAGCCTTTGCTGCATCTCATATACTACCAGTCTTTCTCCAGTATTCCACTATAAGAATAGAAAGTTAATCTTTTCACACTTCTGGCCTCAGGAATGTGCATTACTGAGGTCTATCTGTGGTTTATAATATACCACTGGGTTACACCCCCAAGTCCTTGCTATCTCAGGGTTTTTATTTTACTTGAGTCAAATTTCATCCAAATGAGAGAAGCCTTCCGTTACTACCATATACAAAATAACAATTCCCCTCAGCTCCTATATTGTTTGACAGAAAAAGGAAGGGCTTGGAGAGATGGCTCAACCATTAAAGGTTAGTCTGACAACCAAAATGTCAAGAGAAAGAAAAACAATGAATGGAGATATCTGATATAAAGTTAGATATGTAGATCTAGAGTTCAGTTAGGAAGTCTGAGCCAGGTCTGGAAGTTTCCACTGTTCCAGGCAAGATGGCTAGTGTTTGTAGTTGTCTAGAAGTGTTAGAAAGCAAGAATCTCATGAAACTTTTTGATAAACCGTAAGTTGCTAAGTCTCCGTAGTTCTTTTTATTTTTTTTACTTGTCACTCACTTATCTTTGTCTATACTGTCCTTACCATAATTATGGCCATAATTGTATCTCATTCTGGTTTATTGACATATTATATTACAGTTTATATTTTATATGTCCATTATTGTACGCTATGAATAATGAGGATAAGACCATTAATCCACTCATTCAATCAGTTTGCATTGGTGCTTTATAGCATAGTATATTGGGCTACATTCATCACTGCATCTCTCACATCAAGCATATTATATAATGTTAAGTATATGGTTTATATATATTTGTTTTATTGAATTACATTGAAACACACTATATCACAGAGGCAAAATTTTTCTCTAGAAGTCACCACAATGCATATCTCACTTAAATTCTTAGAACACACTGAGCTTATTTAGAGCCAACATTATATCTTAATCTAATACAACATTTAAAATAATCATTATCAGAAAGTGTACCTGTAAAACTAATCTAATTCTCTATTATAAACAATTTTATCTTGTGTGGAGATCAGAAGATGGCTCAAGATTTTCTGGAACTGGAGTTACTGAGTTGAGGGCTGCCATGCAAATACTGGGAATTGAACTGGGTCTTCTGGAAAAAGAACTTTTAACCACTGAGCCATTTCTCTAGCCCCCCAAAATTTATATTAAATGTTATGTTATCATTACTCTCAACAGTGAATTAGATATATTTCTTTCTGCTTCTCTCCAAAACACTTGATATACTTTAATATATTTATCTATTTTATATCTTTTTACTAGATTATGATATCTATGGAATAATATATTCATCTGTTGTTTCTATGTTAATTAATAACATATAATTACACAATATTATTGTATTTTTGTTACTATAGAATTTAGATGGACAAAAAGTCACATACCTGTAATAACAACTTGGGAAGCTGGGAGAGAAGTATTGCCATGAGTTCAAAGCAGACTGTGCTACACAGCAAAGGCCAGATCAGACAGAGCTACAAAGCATGATCCTGTCTCAAAAATTAAAAATAAATGCATATCATTAATTAATTTACTATTATTCTTTGGTTTCCTTCTAACCCCCCAAACCTAATATAAATTTGATTCTCAATATGTTTGCTGATTGTTTACTTAATCACGTATCTCATATTTGACTAAAGAAAATAACCGAATATTTAATTATCTCAAGGTATGATAAAGAGAAAAATTGAACTATGTTTGCTAGTTAGATATATTTACTTCTTTTCCATAATTAATATTTATAGAAGACTTCTTTTGTATGAGTAATATATTCTGCATGTGCTGTGGTCACTGTATTAATGTGTATACTTGCTCCACATGCCAGTGACTATCTTGAGAGTTTGCTGCAATTTTAAGTTGACTCTTCACAGTGTCTGAAGTAGTCTCTCAGAAAATAAGAATCATAGTAATATCTACCATGTATTGAGTACTTAGTTTACTTACTATTCACATTATTTCAAATTACTCAGGTTTTTAACAAATAAATTAATGTCTGTTTCACAAGTGGACACCGTAAGAGTCAAAAGTCTTAGGTAACTAAGCCAAACATCACACAGCTACTAATTAATGGAACTGGCTGTAAACCTAGATCTGACTCTAAAGCCTTCTCTAGATTGGCTTAGTTGCAGAGATGTTTTCTGTGACCCTTGGAATTCACTAGGATCAAGCTACGGGAAACTCCTTAGTTGTCATAGTCTTATCCAGGCTTCAGGTGTTTAAGTTCTTTCTTCAGCAGTGTAATTCCAGGTAAAATTGTAACAAGAGCAAAGCTTGTGACTATCTTTTGCTTTAAAATGTAACAAAGGTAAGACTTGTGACTATCTTTCGCTCTAAAGTACACAACATACTTTGCTTCAGAATGTCAATCCTTGCAAATTCCACTGGAATTTGGCTCCAACAAACACTTTAAAGCTCCTATTCATCTCTTTTTCCACTAATTCCTTCCTTTTATTTCACAATTCACTAGCTTTCCTGTGTTGATAAAATCTTATAACCATGTCATGATTTGTTCCTCTCAACCTATTGATGCTTAGGATTTTTCAATTATTCACCTATAGTCCTATGTGTAAATTAAGTCATATTTTAAATCATTTTTTTCAAATTTTTGTCTTTATTTATATTTTCTCTGCAATTCTATAACATCGTGCTGCTCTGAATACTTTCCAACATATGATAACTTGTTATTTGGTTTCCCCACTAGTTCTTTATCTTTTTGCTCTCTAACTTTCTACATGATACACAATCCTCTCTATTACTTTCCTGTACTTCCAAAGTTTCATCCATTTTCAAAAATTCAATGATCTCTTCTATGTTAGTAGCCCCTAAATTTCTATTCTGGTGTTTCACTCAAATTTTAGTCGCACATCAATAAGTTTATTCTAAATGTTCTCACTTGAAAACGTCTCATGATCACCTCAAGTTCTATACTTCCTCACAAATAACTCAAAAAAAATCTTACCATCCTTTCTGTTTGTTGTACAGCATAAAGAATGTTGGCCCAAGCATCAGGAGTCCTGGGTTCTTTTCATTTCATTTATTTCAATAATACAGTGTAATTATAATAATCACAATAAAAAGTACCTTAGGAACACATAGTTGGATATTCAGTGAGATAATTTTAGTTGTAAAGATAAGACATACATAAACTATTACAGTACAAATTGGAAGTGATAAATACCTGGCTGGGAAATATAGGTCTCAGTAGAATGCTTCTCTAGAAGGTATGGAACCCTTGATTCACAGCATGTACATGGTGTGATGACATATGCCTGTAATTCCAGCACTGAAGTAGTGGAGACAGCAGGATTGGGAGTTTAAAATCATCCTTGGTTATAGAGGTATTCAAGACCAGCCTAGACACATAAAAATAAAACAAATCTTTTTAAAAATTGATAAATTCTACAAAACCACAACTCTCCTGTTTTTAAAGTTTGGAAGTACAAAGAAGATATTGAAAACGTTATACAGGACATCATACTTGAAATAATCTTTAAGGCAGAATAATATTACATAGATGACTATAAAAAAGAAACTAGGATAAGCAGATAGGTTGGAATTTTGAATACAATTTTATAATGAAGGATTGATAATTTAGTTTCTAAAGCTTTTTTCTAGCACCAATATTGTTTTAAACTCATGCTCACCTTCCTACGTCTCCATATGACAATGTATCATTATTATTATTTTTTTTGGTTTTTCGTATAGTTATTATTAAACCAGCCTAACTTCCCATTTTCACTGTCAATTCCCTAAACCAGCCCCTTTTGTTTTCTTTTTTTTTAATTTCTCCAAGATGCTTTAAATTTCTAAATTAGCTGACTTAATTCAAATATTCCTAACCAATTTATCATGTCCTGTATGTCTTTCTTTTTAAATTTTAATTTCACATCTATCTATTGTGTGTGTGTGTGTGTGTGTGTGTGTGTGTGTGTGTGTGTGTGTGTGTGTGTGTGTGTGTCATGGGGAGGTAAAGTACAATTTGCAAGACCTGGTTCTCTCCTATCATGTGGGTTATGAGGTTTGAACTCAGGTCCTCAGGCTTGACAGCAAGCACTTTTATTTGCTGAACAATCTCACTACCTCTCCCTCCAATATATCTTTCTTAATATGGTTTAATTTTATACTTTATTACTTTGTTCAAAAAATTATTTCTGATTCCTAAAACATTTTCTAAATTATTCTACCTGTCATTCAAGTTATTCTCCAACATTACACATTTTGTTCCTATTTTCAATATATATCTCTTACATAAGACAGTTTGAATATATCATTCTTCTCAGAACTCCATGTGCTAGTCAGTTTCTGACAACTGAACTTTCCAAATGTGCCCTTCATGTAAATTAGGTAGGTATGTTTATTCAGTTTTTTCTTGACCAGATACTAATATCTCTTTAAGTCTTTCACTGTTTTTGCAACCAATCTTTTTTAATTTGTATAATATTTAAACATATTCTTTCATCTTTAAGATATCGTTGAGTTAGCTGTCATACGAGAAGTGAATTGAACAATCAGTTACTATAAAGTGTTTAAAGATGTGATTAATTTATTGTAAAATCACAATCGGGAGATTTTTAGAGTAGTAAGGGAAATATTTTGAGGGCAGAGTAGTTTTATGGTCTTCTTCAAGGTTATTCATTTATTTTTTGGAAAAAAAATACGTGGCTGATTTGTGCTGAAATAGTATCTACAAACTCACTTGGAATGAAATTGTCATTATGGTATTTTATAAACAAAAAGAAATTCCTAGATTAAGAAACAAGAAAGCTGTGCTTGCTTCTAGTTCCCACACTGTCGCAAACTACTTGAATTATCTTCAGCAATTTAATGAATCTGTCTTTTACCAAAAAGTAAACCATTAACATATTTCCTGAAATGTACTGTTATAAAAATCTAATGGTTTCATAAAGCAAAATGCCAGATAATACATGTTGAATTTTGTAATGGCTCATCAGGAGTTTTCTGTATAGAGCCATCCTTGTCTGATGGTCTATCAAAAATCATTGAACTACAAAAGTAATTTGAGAACATAGTATCTTAAAATGCGAAGGTCAAGAAGTTATCCAGGTTTATTTCCAAGAATCATTTAACTATTCATACAATAATCATTAATTGTGTGGGTAGTATATCAGTCCCTAGAGATAAAGCAATAAAGACAAATACAATATACCACCAATGATAACTGTCTAACATGGAAAACAGATAATCATAAATAAAAGCTGGCAAACTCTGTGATTGATTGTATTAAAGTATAAGGAAGCCAACTGGAACCTTAAGAAGAGTACTGACATGATTAGGCAAAGTTTTCCTACAATGTGGGACTTTGACACCTAGGTATAAAAATAAACATTAGTGAAGTATTTCAAGAAGACTGAGCAGAATATTCAAAGACAAAGAAGTATATAATAATACAAAATATTCAGAGTTAATGTCTTATTTGTTTTACCTACTATAACAAAATATCTTAGAGTAGATGTATTCTAAAGACTGGGATGTTTAATATAAAGTTATTGGTAGTGTCTGATGAGGTCCAACTTTCTGATTCATAGGAACCTTCTCACTAAATCTTTATATCATGAAAAGGACACCCTAGCTCACCAGGGATTCTTGTATAAGATCACTAATTCCATGAGGGCTCCAATTTCATGACCTAATTAACTCTCAATAGACTCTCCTCTTAATAACACAACATTAGTGATTAGTTTTCAACATAAGAATTTTGGGGAGACACATATATTCTAACCATAATAAATGCCAAATAGTTTGGAAGAATGTTGCATATGTATGTGTAGGAGGATTTGCACATGACTGGGCACTATGGCATAATGATTAAGTACGCAAGCCCTGTAGTAAATTAAATTCAGATCTGAAACTTATAAGTCATGTAAATTACCTAATTTCTTTAAATTTTTATTTCTCTTTTGTACGTAAACTCCATAGGATTGTTGTAAGAATTAAATGAGTTGAAGCACATAAAATACTTAAGATAGTATCTTGCAGATTTTAAAAATGTCTCCCTACTTAATTAAATGTCAATTCTGAAAGAACAGGACATCTAGTTGTTGGAATACCAGAAATTTACTAATGGTTGGCCCATTGAAAACACTGTGGAATGAATGATCTGTAACATAATTGTTTTGGCATAGGTATCCTAAAATGTAAGGTTGAATAATCTTGGTTGATTTTTTTTCCTTAATATAGACTCAAAGAATAAAGGGGGAAATAATTAGGCAACCCACCTGTTCAAATTTAAATGTGTACCTTAAAACAATAAAAGGTGGGGCTGGAGAGATAGCTCAGAGGTTAAGAGCACTTGTTCTTACAGATGACCCTGGTTCAGTTTCCCAGAACCTACATGGTAGCTTATAATATGTCCTTTTTTGTTTTCATTGCATGCACATGTTGCACTTACATGTAGATGGGACACTCATACACATAAAATGAAAAGGTTTTAAAACTTTTAAAAACTAAAAGGACATTTAATTAAAACCATCTCTTGCTATGCTTATGGACTGAATTAAGGTGAAAACAGTTTTTTAATTTATACTTACTATTCATTGAGTGTTTTTTATATGTCAATCTAATAGAATTTCTAAATGTAAAACCTTATTCAAATTACAGAGCAACAATATAATTCTATGATGTAGAATTTTGTCTCTATTTTAAACATGAAGAAATAGGTTCATAGGGGTTAACTGAATTTTCCAAAGTCAAATACATACCTCCTAAATTGAGAAGTCAAAATTGTTAATGTTGATCTGTTGGCCTGTATCTAGCTAGTAGTAAGTTCTTGGCACATAGTTGATTACAATAAATAGTTGTTAAAGGAATAGATTACTAATCTATTATCTGCAGACAAACCTATGATTTAGTTTTTATGGTTTTCATAATTTCAATAAACTCAAGAGAACAGTATTGAGCCATAAAAGAGAAGAATTTACATAGAAAAATCTCTTGACTGATAATTATGATTAAAAACACATTTAGATTTGCTTATAAATTATATATGAATATAAGTATTATACACATATATGATATATAGCAACAGAATAATCTGAAGAACTTTTACAGAGTATGCGCAAACACACATCCATACATTTTTATAGTTTCTGTTTTCTTTTGTTCTGATATTCATGAAAGGGTGTAGATAATATAATGGCAAAGCTAGACAGGGCAATTACCAAATAAGATTTCCTTCTGTTAATGTAGAAATTGGGGCTCTAGAGAGGAAGCAAATTACAAAGGTCACACAAGGAATTAGAGTAAGATTAAGAATCTGAGTTTCCAGACTCACGAGTTTGTTTTAGTCTGAACTGTCACCATTTACCATCTTAATTTTATAGATAGAGTAACCAAAGCATCCTAAGAATGCTGATGGCCAAGTTCCTGCCACTAGTCCACCTAAGCAGGACTTTAATTTTAAATATAAGGCTTGAATTTCTTCCAATGCTTCTGTCTGGGTGTGAGAAGGACAATCCCCCCCTTCTTACTGAACTAAATAATGAGCTGAAGATAATTTACAGAAAGATTTGTCTTTCTCTCTAAGAGTAAATTAAGGCTGCTTTGTTGCTTTATTTTCAGAAGCCAGAAAGTCCCAAGGAGGCTCCATAAAGGCAAGAATTCAGAACACCTAGCACAAAGGAAGGCAATTAATAAATATTTGTTGTTAAATGTATGACATGCTGAAGGAAGAAAGGGAATGTAGGTTGGGTAATGGTTTCCCAGAGGATGATGGATGGACAATCATTATTAGTGCGGTGGGGGGGGGGGGGAGTGGGAATGAATGAGGAAAAGAGGTGGGGGAAGCCCTTAAAGGAGAAGCTCAATCTTTATCAGATTGAAGCTACAGTCAGTTAGCAAATTCTGAGAGTCTTGTGATTGGCAGAGATATTTAAATAAGGTCCCCTTAAAATTTTTACCACCCCTGGAACCCCACTCCTCTTTAAAATTTGTTTCAGTCATTACCCAGGGACCGGATACAGAGATTCCTATGGGGAGTTCTAATGGGTCGATTCAATTTCAGCTGGATGACGCCACTTAGCCAAGCATTAAGAGCTAAAGCTCCGGGAAAGCCACGACACAGAGACGGGGAAGAGAAAAAAATTATAGCAACGAGCAATAAATCCCTTCCCATCCTCCTCCTATAACCCATTCACAAGACCTCCAGAAACCCTCTACATTCACAGAACAACCAGCTAGCTGAGCTGAACACAGAGTGCAACCTCACCCTACACACATACTGCCGCAGATCATATACCAACACACCCAGAGCTGTATAAATAATCACACACTAGCGGTATCTATTGCTTGGTTGAGATACCCTGTGTCTACAACTGCAGTTTCTGCTGCTTCGGTTCTTCTGACAGATTGGAGGAGACTGAGGTGGATGTGGAGGCGGGGGAGGGGGGGAGCAAAGGGAGGTGGGGGAGTAGGTAAGGGAGAAGGAAGGAGAGAAGGGGAGGGGGAGGGGAAGAGAAGGGGAAGGAAAATATTGGAGGAGGAGGGGGAAAGAAACTGGAGGAGGAGGAGAAGGGGGAGGAGTAAGAGAAGGAGGAGGAGAAAGAGGAGGAGGAGGAGAAAGAAGAGGAGGAGGAGAAAGAGGAGGAGGTGAACTTACCCTGCTGAGCTTTCTTTGGGGAATACGTGCATCAAGATTCAGCTCTGCATGTAAAATCCACAGAGTGTCTGCCACTACAGGTCTGATTCTCAACCCCCTCCTTAATGCTGCCGTTCTCTCTCTCTCTCTCTCTCTCTCTCTCTCTCTCTCTCTCTCTCTCTCTCTCTCTCTCTCTCTCTCTCCCTCTCTCTCTCCCTCTCTCCCTCTCTCTCCCCCCTCTCTCTCCCCTCTCTCTCCCTCTCCCTCTGCTCTCTTCCCTTCTCCCTCTCTTCCCTTCTCCCTCTCTTCCTTTCTCCTTCTCCTGCTGTGTCGGAAGGACCGAGACAGAACTATCTCTGTTTTTATCTTCTCTTCCACTAAAGGAGTTTTCATTCAGACTTTCCGAAGAGAGGTGGAAAAACGTGAAGACTCGGGAGAAGAGATCCTTTGAGCCAGATCGAGGGTTAGTTCTTCTGCTTTTCTCGGCATGGATAAACCATTTTCTCAAGGTAAGCCACGGGGATTAGCTCCTAAAGACTTCAGAATCCCTTCTATGCAATGCACAGATTGCCATTCATTCCAGCGTTCGGTGTGTGTGTGTGTGTGTGTGTGTGTGTGTGTGTGTGTGTGTGTGCGCGCGCGCGCGCACGCGCAAGCGTGCACACACACACACACACACACACACACACACACACACACACACACACACACACGAAAGTGCCTGGGTAAAATAAAATGAAAACCCTTAAAATGACATTTAAATGAATCAGCTCTCGTAGAAAATTATTCATACTGGAAATTTAAAAATCAAAATAGGAATTCAATATGATCCTTTTTTTTTTTGCCAATTTAATGCCTAGTCTGTTGACCTTTAATGCATTTTGGTGCTTACCTAAGCCCCTTACTGCGCAGCCTAACCACCCAAGGTGAGGACATAGGAAGAGCCCGTGCTGAGGCCAGTCTGGCTGCCCAGCGGGCATCCTTGTCAGCATGGGGCTAGTCTGCTATTGGCTCACAAGTCTGGGCTGTGCATCGTTCAGATTTCATCACATCACCTTGCCTTGGGTAGAAATGGCGCAAGCTGACACGGCATAACCCCCCACTTACATTGAGTCAGAGCAATGATTTAGAAATTTCTGGAATCATGCCTGGGTACATGTGTACATATCTTTATATGGCATATGGGAATTTTGTCCAAAATAAGAACCTGTGAGCATAGTTAGTCAAAAGACATTTGATAGGACCTAGGGAACCGATTTACAGTACACTTTCTTCAACACATCTAACTATCACTCACCTACGAATGTTTCAAATCAAGTTCCATGAACAGAAAACAAATTGAACTCTTAAGCAGATAATGCATTTTGAAATGCAAATTATTGTTGATTTTCTGCACCATATTAAAACCTTGCTGTAATGTGATGTAAGGTGTTAAAGCAAGACAGCTACATGCAAAAATACAAATAAGGCAGACTAGCAGTTCATCCACAGTTAAGTATATTGTTGTCTATTTGAATCTAACAAACATACACTAAGATCTTATTGTAAAATTCTAGACATTTTATTTCTTTATGCTCTGTTTTTAGGTCTCTATCTGAGAAAGATAATCTAATGATATGAGTGGTTTGTATTTAGAGATATTTGTTCAGAATTGAATAGTAAGTAACCAACGATTGAAAAGAAAGGAGACTAATTCTTCATGAAAGAATTTGAGACTTAGATGTGCAGTCTAAACCCAGGAAAGAATTTAGACCAGGGCAAAATGGGCTTTAAAAATCTTTCTTACATACCTCTTCATTTTGCAGATGAAGAAACAGAGAGGTCACTTACCTATAGTAACACAGCAAAATAAAGCTAGCATTAAGACTATATCCTAAGTTTCTTGTGTCTTAGAAAATAATTTGGGGCTTATATAAAGATCCCAGTGTCTTAAATGAACAACTCATTTCTTAGAATTTTCCTCACCATTAGAAGTATATGAATTTATTCAGTGTTAAAATTTTTCTCTCTATCACTCATCACTAAAACTCCTATATCTTTAATAATGCCAAGGTCTTAAAACTGCAAGGCTCAGGGGCTTGAAATAAACTGCTATGAGTCTTAATGAAACTATTAAAGTAATGAATAGGATTGGGGTAGCAACGTGACAAGTTAAGAGTTAAATGTGGTGAGAATCTGGCAGCTCTAGCAAGATGTATGCGGTAGGAGGGAGGCCCAGTCAGTAACAGAGAGGTCAGTAATGTAAACTATATACAACTTGGTATTTGTAAAGGGGGGTGTGCTTTGATAGAGATGCAAATGCTTTTGCACAGAGAAGGATTTTTAGAGAACAGACTTTGGTATAGTAGAATTAAGAAAACATATAAAGCCATCACAGAAATTCCCCCTATATTTGCTTTCAGTTATTCTGAGAACAAGTGTATAACAGCAGAGTACAGGGGAAAAACACACCCCACAGCCATTACACAGTAAGGTACAAAACAGCATTGAGCCTGTGAGTGTGGGAGAAAACAGTAGTCAGCCCTTCCTTCTTTTTTCTCTCCTCTCTTTAAAAATCAGCCTTGAATCACACTCTATCAAAAAAGATTTATTATAGACATCATTAATGTCTTAAGGTGACAGCAAATAGCTTTAGACAGAAAAGTTTTCAACTTTTGTCTCAACATGGCAGATTTTAGGTTTTAGAGAGAAAAATACATTTTCTTTCATTAAAAAAACATTACCATTTCATGAATAGGTTTAGCTTTCTAGTAAGAAAAGGAATTTCTGTTTAGGTTGTATATAGAAAATTTCATGGCTATAGAAAAACTATTCAGAAAGCCATGAGCACCTGGCCAGCAAGACTGATGGAGGTAGGTTTACAATGCATCATTCATTACTGCAGAGGCACTACGTGACAAAAATCACTAGATTCCTTCCCTATATAGCCAAGATTCATAAACACACTGACTGCTATTTAATAATATGTGATATGTATATTCTTTGTCATATATCAAAATATCAAATTGACCACAGGCAGTTTATTAAGTGTTACTGCTCACAAAAAGTGGTGTTTTAATGGGTGGACTCCTAAATTATAAACATGCATACAATGGTACTTTCTCATCTAATCTACACACATTTTCTCATCTAGTCTACAAGTAGTATCTTGCTTATTTGTTTTTTAGCATCCCTCCTCATTACCTTTTGCTTTAATGTGTGTGTGTGTGTGTGTGTGTGTGTGTGTAATATTCTGATTATTTCAGTTCATCTTTTTTTTTTTTTAGCTAGATTGATTCAGCCGCCCCAGAATGGCAAGAAAATTGTCATCTAGTCCTTTAATTTGATCAGTTGGACATAAACACTTTTCTTATAATTTTGTCAAATACCTTTCATAGTCCAAAGTTTCTATATTCACATATAATCTACAGTTAACTAAACAGTATATCCTTGTTTATTCAGATGCCCAAATGAATACTGTATATTTCTTTCCAATGCCAAGACTATGACTGTATAAAGATTTAATAAAGCTATGTATGGACTGAAGGTTACAAAGACTTTAAGAGCAAGGAAGTGAATCTATTTTTGTTTTTGAATTTTCCAAATAAACAAGGGCACTTTGCCTAATTTATTCTCAAGAAACTTGAAAATGTAGATGGTGCAGATGAAAAGAATGATTAAATTCTTTTAAATAAAAATACAGACTAATGTTAGGCAATATTCTTGGAGATCATGTAGCCCACCTCTATAATTATATAGGTAGTGAAACTGAGGCCTAAATAAATCAAATGATTTGACAAAAGTATCATTCATATTTGAGTTTTTGGACATACATTATGTTTATCTAATTTTTAAACAGTGTAAGTTTAGCTAATCATATTTATATGAGAATATAGTATCAAAGACCATCAAAATGTAGTCATTATTAGCTGCTGAACTGTTTATTAACTGTATCTTTATTTTTACTGAGGAAACCTAGACAAACACTATTCTCCAGTTCTTTGTTCATTTTTATTTACTATTTATTCAATCTATCCAAACCAGTACAAGTAATTGATTCATTCTAAGGATACTTAAAATCCACTAGATTTCAAATATGTACTGTATTCATGCTAATGATCATTATGTCCTGGTGTTCCATGTTGCCTTTTTATTTATATTTTCATTTCTTTTCTAAACATTCAGTCCTCTAGGTACGGGAGTCTACTACTTGTGAAATATTTTTTCAAGGTCACCATTTATTGATTCTACACTATATCAACGCCTTCAGGAGAATGACTACACAACCATTTTTGGCACAATGAAGATGTAAGAATATGTTTTCTAATATTCAACTAAGCTTAAGTACAGTATAAGAATATTTTTTCTCTTTAAAAATCCTGTTTCTGGTGTAAAGTAAGAGATAGAGAAAGCAGTCTATGCAGAATTTGTTTGATAAATGCAATTTTATAGTTACAGTGATATTTGAAATAATTCAGGGCTTGTATTATAGTTTTATATGGTTGTCCTATTGCCCAGTGTTAAAAAATATTTAAAAAATGTTTGATTTTGGAAGCTGAGTGTGGTGATGCATACCTACATTCTGGCTACTCTGGAAGGTAAAGCAGGAAAATGATTGGATATATACATATCTATATAAACATATGAGCAGGTTCTTTTGGTATACCTGTGAAGTTTCCTCTACTGAATCAATATGCATTAGGAAATGACCTTTACTTTAACATTTGGCTCCATTTTTACCAGAATGCAGATGTTCAGACCTTAGATTAGTTGCTTCTGTGAACTTAGTCACTTGATGGAATACAAAAAGAATTAACGTTTTGTATTTATATGCAAATTGTTATAACATTTGCTTCAAAACTGATTTATCCTTTGAATAGAAAGACCATACTTGTCTGAAACTAAGTGAGTTCACTTACAAAATAAAGGTGTTACATGAAACCTACAATACAGCATTTGAAAGATGAAGTAGTGATTATAAGTCCTAACTTTTTTTAGTTTTCCTGAATTTGTGACATGTATGTTCTCATATATTGTTTCTATTTCTTTTCTTCTAGGACATTTTTTTGATGTGTGTTGAGGTCCATATAACGACAAGGGCTTTTTTTAAATCACCATAAGTGCCACCCCGACCCCAAATCACTTAGAGCTCAAAAATCTAGGCAAAATGGATGCCACAG